CTATACAGAAATATGTGTTAATTGTTAGGTATTTAGTAGCGTATCTTTGCGCAATACATTCGAGCAGAAAGTTTTTGATACAAGAGAATATGTGATGTAGTGCTTTCACTGTTCTCTTCGCTTAAACGAGCAGATAACGGTCTGGTAGCCTTGAATTGCGTACTCGGTTTTTCAGAATTTTCTGTTTCCTTTCACTATAGTACTCGCTTTAATATTTTTTCGAAATCTCATTTCATGGCAAAAAATTAGTGGAAATTTGTCTACAAAACTGACCTTAAACAAAATTTGGCTCAATTGAGAGTATAATCAGGCTTTTTAGAAGCTTACCTGTTTCTCAAAAAAGACCCTATTCAAGTAAAAAGAGAAGAAAAAGTGCTTTAGGAACTTTATCGATATTCGAGAAAAGGAGAGAGATCCTAAACGTGATAACGATCATGGTCGCTCATTGATGAATAGACGAAACAACGAAGCTGGTAGAAAGGTGATCAGTAGGCCTCGAAATTTCCTTATTAAAGCTAGTCGGTCAACACATGTAATATAATTTAGATTCTAAAGCGTCACACAGCGCCAAAGTGTAAGTGTCACGGTGTATCGGGAGCTTGCAATCTGAAGACCTGTTGGATGCAGTTGCCGACAATGCGACAAGTTGGAAATATACTTCAGAGCAAGTATAAGAATGCGATTCGGGTTCAGGTGAGAGACTGACTGTAGCATAGCCGATGTGTTTTAGAATGAATGGAGGTGGCTAAATTATTTCCATTAGGTTAATTCACGAGGTAATCTACAACTCGTTGCTGATCAACTTCCAAAGGATTCCGGAGGGAGAAGAAAGACTAGAGCACTGCCAACCGATCTCGTTTTCATGGATGACTCCCCTGACTACTGCAGGCAAGATCGAGCAGCTGGAACATTGGGAACACAAGGACGAATTTGCAGGTATTTTTTGAAGACAAAGTCTGATAATATTAGAACTCCGAACGAATGACTTTGTAGACGAGGATCTGATGGAGCGGACGGTTGCGATTCATTGTGTTGTGGACGAGGCTATAACACTTACACTGTTGAACAGACCACTAAGTGCAATTGCAAGTTTGAGTGGTGCTGTAAGGTGGTCTGCCAGATGTGCACGAACACCACACAAGTTGATATTTGTAAATAAGACACTTACATGAATTGAATTTATTTGCAATTTAAGGCATATTTGATACCACTTTGATATAGCATTTCTTAACTTTTACACTTAAGCCTATTTCAAGCAAAATTTACATTGTAACGCAGTGATTGGAGCCCTGTCTTCAGCTCGCCAGTTCCATGTTTTGTATATAAAGATACCATTCACCATTCTGAACGAAAAACAGCAGATTCATAAAGTGACCTCTTTTAAATGCTTTATTGT